GGGAGAAATGTGGGATTCACATATAAATCAAGTATAAAAATCAAACAAATATTCATATTTGACCTGATTGTTTATAGTTCATAATGCGTGATCAAAACCAAAAGTTTCTGTGATGACTGCCCTTGTACTGTTCACCATGTAAGAACTTATTCACTATGTAAGAATTTGTTCACCATGTAAGAACTTGTTCATTATGCTTCAGTAGATTGGAGACTGATGAGAATTAGGCTTGGGGTGGATTAATGATGGTGCATTGAGCATTGAGTCCCCTATACAGAATTTTATTGTTGTTAACAACCATTTGATCTATAAATATGAGAGATGCCCTCTCAAAAAAAAAAAATCAGGTTGATAGAGATTAAAAGAGCATTTTTGGATGGGCAGAGGATGTGACACTTCTCCAAAGTATGTTTCCAAATGTCTCCAAAACAGACATTTCTCCAAAGAAGAAATATGGATGGCCAACAGGCACATGAAAAGATGCTCCACATTGCTGATCATGAGGGAAATGCAAATTAAAATCACAATGAGAGTACCTCACACCAGTTAGGATGGCCACGATCCAAAAGACAAGAAACAACAAATGCTGGCGATGATGCTGAGAAAGAGGAATCCTCCTACACTGTTGGTGGGAATGTAAACTATTCAACCATTGTGAACACAATATGGAGGTTCCTCAAAAAACTAAAAATAGAAATACCATTTGACCCAGTAATCCACTCCTAGGAATTTATCTGAAGAAAAGAAGATCCCTGATTCAAAAAGATACATGTGCCCCTATGTTTATAGCAGCACTATTTACAATAGCCAAGACATGGTAGCAACCTAAGTGTCCATCAGTAGATGAATGGATAAAGAAGATGTGGTACATATATACAAAGGAATATTATTCAGCCACAAGAAGAAAATAAATTGTACCATTTGCAACAACATGGATGGAGCTAGAGAGTATTATGCTCAGTGAAATAAGCCAGGTGGAGAAAGACAAATACCAAGTCATTTCACTCATTTGTGGAGTATAACAGCAAAGCAGTATAGAAGGGTCAAAATAGCAGTAGATGCAGAGATACTAAGAAGGGACTTGTAGTTACCAAAGAGGAGGGTTTGGGGAGGGTTGGAGGGGAGGGAGAAGGGAACTAAGGGTCACTATAATTCGCAATCACAATGTGGGTAGGTCACGGGGAAGGCAGTACAAGCAATGATTCTGTAATATCTTACTACACTGATAGTGACTGCAGTGGAGGGGGTGAGGACTTGAAAATATGGGTGAATGTTGAAACTACTCTGTTGTTTATGTGGAACTATCATAAGATTGTATATCAATGATAGTGTAATAAAAAAAAGAGGGTTATTGGATAAAGCTATTGGAATTACAGAGCTGTTGCATGTGTGAGGGACATAAGGAAGCCTGCTCTCCTCAAGCTCAGAGAGGGCTTTGCTGGCCCACTCAGAGAGCTTTCTATATGGCCCTCAGTTTGGAAGAGAGTAGACTGGTGTCAGACCTGCCAGCTGAAGAAGCTAGTTGCAGAATTAGCTGTGTGTTTAGGAAATATTTGTACAGGTAGCAGTGGGGTAGATGTGTGTCTCCTGTGGATCAAAGTGAGCACGCATACTTATGAGATAGTTCCGGTCAGAATCTGCATAAGACGGCCTCCTGGAAGGTGACAAGCCCCAACGCACAGTCTCCAGGAGAGGACTCCTGAGAACTTGGGACAAAGCAGAAGTCACAGCATCCATCCCAAGAGCAAATTACCAGTCTCAGAGAATAGATGAGAAATGTCCAGGAGGTTGGGAGAGTCTGAGTGTCTGAAGAAACTCAGTAAGTGCCCCATGAGAGAACCAGAATGGCTTTAAGCAGTGACACCAAGGTAAAACCATTAAGACAATACCAGTCACCAAGTAACTTTCCTGACACCCCTTACTCTGTTCCTTCTGGTTAACCCTGACCCTGGAGGGCCAGAACTGAGTCAGTAAGCTGGGGGAAGAGAAATAGAAGAATCGGGTAAAAAGAGCAGCCAACTGTGCCTTTCTTTTCTATTGCAACTGGCAGATCTGTGGTAGGCCCATGCTGGGAGAGGAAGGTTCTACCTGTACATGCAGTTTTATGTATTTGGTTATTACAGTGAGCAAGACATTAACTACTGAAATGGAGGTCAATTTTTAATTTAAAGTGACTTAAGATCTGCTTTGTATTTCTTGTATGCCCTAGATTCTTTAAGGAGAACTACTTTTGCAGAATCAGATTAGAGATATTGTGCAGCAGAATGTTTTTGTTTATAGCTCATCAATCCGGTTTTTCTGTGCAATGCCCATAGTACTTGTGTTGGCTCAGAGGCACCAATCCTAACCGAGACTCAGGGAGAGTTACTGAATTATTTGCCAGTCAAGCCAATTATCTTTATGGTAATAAACATAAGCAGTGGTTTTTCCAATACCTCATTTAGGGTCACTGAATCAAAAAGTTACTGTCTCCAAAAATTTAAGCTAAATGTAAATTTTACAGAAATGTTGACAGTACCAATTTGAAGCAAAAAAGTTATGTCTTTAAAATAGAGTTTTAAAAGTGCATGCAGTGCAGGCATTAACAACAACGTCTCCCACTGTATGCATGGGAAGGATTGAAAGCCCTGAGCCCCAGAGCAAGGTCACACCTCTTAGGGTGCTCTTCTCAAGTGGGCCCTCTCAAGTGCAGGGAATTCTTTACACTTCTAAAGTTTCTATTTTTCCTTTTGGCTTTATTGATCTAATCAACAGTAGTAAGTAAACTCTCAGTATCCTTACAGTGGTGTCTGTAATTTCTTTATCTGTGCAATGTATTTTTAATGTCATTCTTTTCTAGTACATTTTTTTTTTACATTCCCATTCACTTTGAATAGCACACTATCAGTCTACAAAATGTTTATGCATACATGGTTTAGCTTTCATTCCTCTGCTTTTTTCTAAAAAATCTTTGTTAAAGATCCCTAACTATTAACTGCCTTTAATGAGATATGCCATTTTTCAATTCTAGGCAGCAAGTTTAATGCAGAATCCTCAAGTTCAACAGCTGTAAGTATACAGAAAGAGCATACTACATACCCCCCTTCTACTTGCCAGGCTCCTAATTTGAGCACATCAGCTAAAAAATGATAAATGTTAAGTGATAAATGAATGCTAGTCCCCCGGAACTTAAAGACATGCACATTTAGCCTAACCTCCTACTCAATGTGGGTATATTTAACTGATTCTTCCCTGGCCAGTATCTTACTTGCTAAGAATATATGCCAATCCTAGTGATCTATCTCTTGCCTACTCTAGAATGTCAGGAATGATGACAAATGCCATTGGGGGACCTGCTGCTGGAGTTGGGGGCCTAACTGACCTGTCTAGCCTCATCCAAGCGTAAGTGTTACTTAAAATAGAAATAGTAAGAAAGTATTTTAATGTCTTATAGTTTGTCTCTAAGGTGAGGGAGCAGAGCTCTTGTTTTTAATTTTCATCTTCTACTGCTGGTGTCAGTGGCTTCATTAGTTATTAGCTCTAAAAGAAATTCATAAACTGGGATTTTCAGACTCAAGAGCAGGAAGATCTGGATCCAAGAAAAATTTTTTCAGCAGATTTGAATACTCAGGGATGTAGATGAAAGTCAGATGTCTAAAGTATGTATTAATTTAGTTAAACATACATATTTCAGTAGAATATAGTACATATATTCATGTTCAGATAATTTAGGAAACTATTTTATTCAAACTTTTTTAGTGCATGTTATCATTAAAGGAACACCTTGCATCTTCTTACTTGAGCACATTACTTTCACTTCTGTCTAAATTTCTTAAGCTACTCTTTCTGAATTGCTTTTTGAATCTGTGTATGATGCTGTCACTGGACACTTCATATGAAGCCACAATTATTCTCTGCTGTTTGTGATCACGACTATGTAATCCTACTTGTGATACTGCATTTTTAGTGATCTTTAAGTGGTGCAATTATAGTGGTATCTTAAACTTGCAATTGAGGGTCACACACTTAGGAACTTGTATTAAATTTGTCTTTTTAACCATCAGTTCTGTTGGGTGACTTCTATAAGCATCCCAAGATGGGTGTGTCACCTGTCATGAGAGAGACTATGAAGATTTGACTACAAGAACAACTACTTTACATTATATTTGAGCACATAGAAAAAGCATATACTTTTTAGCCTTTTGCTTATTTGTAGTTAAACACTAAAGGGAGTGGATTTCACCCATTTCAGGAACTCAGTAATTTGTGAGCATGGATGTTTTGTTTCTTATGAAGAATAAGACTTCATTTTAATAAGGCCATATGGAGGCATTGGTAAACTTGCAGGTACTGAAGTTGTGATTCTAAAACTTGTTTTTATAGAAGTTTCCTTTGGGCAGTACCCACATCCTTTGCAGTTCTTTCTTCTTGGTGTCTGGAAATTCCCTAATTCATACCACTTTGCCTCTTTACTACAGGGGACAGCAGTTTGCTCAGCAGATACAGCAACAGAATCCTGAACTTATAGAGCAGCTTAGAAATCACATCCGGAGCCGATCATTCAGCAGCAGCGCTGAAGAACATTCCTGACTTGATCACAGACCCTAGCCCAGATTGCAAATGGTTATGGCTCTGAAGTGTTTGCTGCAGATAGTGGCCCCAAACAAAGAAAAAAACAAAAAAACTAAATAAATCTGTCTAGAGTATAGGTTTATCATGAACAGACTTGAACATAACATGACTCCTTTGTAAATGAATGATCAGTAACCTTGACAAATGCTAATATAGCACTTGACAGGGTCCATTTTCAAACCATTATCATATTTGTATATTAGGCTTATTAGCAGAGTATATTTATTGAACAGTAGGGCTGTGTATTGGTAAGTTCTCTAGCTCCACATTCTTAAGCAAACTTTTTTGAAAGGAGAGATGACCAAAAGGAAAGGTTTCTCATGCTGGGTTAGAAATGTTCTTGCCACTGAACAGCATGCCAGAGAGAAATTCGTTTTCTAGGTTTAGCTTTGATAGTGCTATCAGTAATAATGTAAGGACCGGTACTGTCTTTAATGCTGCTTGTTCTGATGGGTTACAGGAAATCTTAAGAGCTGGTGGAAAGCAGCATGTGGTACAAGAGCAGTTATTTTGAAAAGAAAAAATAGATGCTGTGAATGTATAGAAAGTGAAGGTAGGATGCTCAGGTTTTCATAGTTAACTAATCTTGCTTGCAATTTGGTACTGGTAACATCAGCATGGCCAGTTATGTAAAGTACATAATAAAATACATTTAGAAATCCTTAATGGTACTGTAGGTCAGTTGTATAGCTATTCAACTTAATTAGCACAATTTCCCCAGTGATAACTTTACCATGGAAACTCAAATATATCTATGTTTAAATAAGCCAATGGCTTGGCCCTTACCTTAAGGATTTTCTAAGTGTCATTTAAGTAAGTTGCTATAAACACTGATTTTTAAAAAACAAACTGATTTTTTGATGGATTTCAAAAGCATCACTGATATTGCTTGTTCATGCAATCCTCTGCTGTAATTTTGCTTGGCATGTCGCTTTTATGCTTAACCTTAATTTGATGCAACTTAGAGAGCAGGAGACATAAAATATTTCATTGAAATTAGAATACATGTTAGTGGAGAGAAGTGGCCTTAAGTATTAGTGGCATGGCTCTAACTACAGTGATGGATGACACTGTTCTAATTGCAACTGGAATTTCGCTTGTTAATTATGAAATTGATACGGTCGGGTGGATCTGTAATGATTTAACAAGTGTTCAGAGAGAGAACAGAAAGGAAGTCATATAAAATTAAATTAGCAATACTGATGATGATCAGGGTCTTACTATAACTGCTCTTAAAAGACTAATTACAACTAGTGGGTATCTTGAAGTTTAAAAAGCAACTCTTCCTTTCTTTCTTTGCCATTGTGAGATTAGAAATGTTTCAATAATTCCACTTTAAGAATCACCTGGGGAATTCATTGCAAGTGCAGATTCAGGGCCACACTTTCAATTTTTATTTAGATCCTGTAATAAATCCTAGGAATTAGCATTTTAAACAGAACAGTAGGTGGTTCCACTATAGGTGCAAGGACTCTTAATTCAGAGCAACACTAGGTTAGAGAGTTCTCCTCAGTTTGATTAGCAAATACATAATTACGTGAACTCAGACTACAACAAAGACCTGTATGAACCTACAGTTCTGGCCAGAGAACAGCAGGACTTAAATCCTAGGCTCTCTGACTTAAATCTCCCATATTCTATCTAAACCAACTTAATTTGTCATGAAGTTAGATTTATCTCCTAAGGTTTAAGTTTATATAGAATGAAGTACTAACTAATCACGTGAAAGTGATGACTGTGATGAAAAAAAAGCAGAGTTGATCCTTAATTAAAAATTAGTCACTCTTTTATCCATTGTTGAGTGAGAAAAAGTTTCGAACATAACTATCTTCAGTGCATTAAAAATGCGTTCAGGTTAATAAAATTGGCAAGACTCTACCTAGCTGGCTAGGAAAACAGAGAATACAAATCAACAGTATCAAGTGAAATGGTATATTACTACAGCCCCTATACACATTAAAAAGATAATTAGAAACACTATAATGAACTCTACATCTATATGTTTGACATCTTAAACAAATTCCTTGTAAGATACAAACTGCCAAAGCTCACTGAAGAAATAGATATAACCTCTAAAAAGAAAGCTACAAGCCCAGTCAATTAACAATCAATTCTATGAAACATTTAAGGGAGAAAGTATCAGTTCTACAGTTTCTTCCAGGAAATAGAAGAGGAGAAATTACTTATTTTTAGTTATTACTCTGATACCCAAATCAGACAAGGCCATCATAAGAAAAAATGCTTTAAAACAATGTCTTGATTTACTAATATCTGTAGTTAAGATAGCCATTCTTTTTACACAAAGTAACAGGAATTGGTGTATTTCTTCCATTTCCCTTATCTAGCTTTTTTGCTAACATATCACCCATAACAAATCCAATCTAGAGATCTGTTCCACATACCTGGGTTTCTGTTCTATTTAAGCCATTTTTGCTCTCCAAGTACATTCACGATTTTGGAATCTCTGTATTGCAACATATTTCAAGAAAGTTGTATGTAGTTGAATTGTGCTGGCTACTCTTAAAATTACAAGGAATGCTCCAAATATTATACTTGTCTGGAACAAAAGGGCATTAAAATGAATCTTTACACACATTCTACTTAGGAATGATTTCCATCAACCACATTTCATTGTAGTAGCTGTAGCTGTTATGATGCTTTGTAAAACTTAAAGCATTCTTTTTATGCAAATGACATTTTGATTTAATGTATTAAACTGTTTATCTAATTTTTATAATATGGCTTAAACAGATCCTTTCTCAGATGACATATCTAACCTTTACTTAAAGAATGAACAATATGTTTCCAGGGGATTGCTTATAAAGAGAGACTCTGTATTTAACTCAAGTTATACAGCAGATTCCAAGTGACCATCATACCTTTTAAATTAGAAACAGAAGGTTCGGTCATGAGAAGACGCTTGAAAAAACAATCGAAGTACCCAGTGCAGTGGCTATAAAGTCTTATTTCATCATTTAATCAATCTTAGTCATTATGGAAAAAAGTTCAATTTTAAATTGCTTGCACTTTATTTTGCACAGACATTTCATTAATTATTACTCCAATTTAAGGGGCGAATCTCATTCTGAATATGGTTTTGATTTTGGACCAATTTGTCATGCCAATAAATAATTCTGCATTTAAGAAAAAACAATTTTTGTATTTGACTTAATGCACTCTTACATTTAAGCAATTATATATACATCCTTGAACTTCAACTTACCAAATAAGTTTCTATTTAATGGCATAAGCTTTTGTTTTCCTTACAAAACATTGAAACTTTTATTACATTCATTTGCAGAGTTGTTACAGTCTTAACTTTCTGTTTGGCATAAGTTAGTGTGATTGTATGTAGAGATAAAAATTTTAATAATATTAATACATGATTTAGAGTTCAAAATCAAGTATCAGAAGCTAGAAATGCTTTATGTAAGTGTTATTTTTCAATAGGAAAACAGCATTTTTTGGATTTAAAATTAGAAAATTTTGAGGGTTTAGTTAAAAGTTAACAGTAATAAACAGTCTAAGATAAAACCAATTCTGATCTGCTGTTAGTAACTGAAACTGAGACGTGTGTGTGTTTCTATGTATATACAAATACAGATACATACCAAAAACTCACATAGTATTAGCAAATGTAAGGTTTTAAGAAACAACTGCACTTTTGAGATCAAGGTCAGCGAACTATGGCCTACAGGCCAAATTCAGCAGGCTGCCCTACTTCTGTAAACACCACTGTTTTCTGTCTACTGGCTGCTCTTGCACTACAATAGCAGGGTTGAGTATTTTCAACAGAAACAGCATAGTCTGGAAAGCCTAAACTATTTAGTACCTGGCCCCTCACATAAAATGTATGCTGACTCCTGTTCCAGATACTTGTTAAGGACAAATGGCCTCAAATACAGAGCTTTAGGAGAACAAAGTTCATTGGTCATGTGAATGAAATGAAATAGGATACACATAGAAAATGTACACATGTTCATTTAGAATATAACTCACAAGATAAAATAGGTTGAAGGTTGCTGTCAAAACAAATATTTAACATTTTAACAGTTTTACAGGAGAGACATTTAACTAATATACACTTATTTTTTGCTGTTGGATTTCACAAAGGTGACAAAAATACAGAAAGTTTTGTGAAAGCACAACATTGGAAGTTTTCTTCAGCTTTCCACTTTAATGGCCGAAGATACCACACAGACTTGTGCGATGTCATCGTATTCATATGTCCTCTTTAAGAAAGTGTCTGTTAGTCTTAAGCCGGAGATGCTCTATTGAGAGAAAGATACAGGGCTCAAGATTTCATTCATTGATTATTACAAGAGAAATAGGGATATAACATATGACTATGAGTTGATAAACCCCCAAATACTCAAATTATTGAAAAGTGCATACTTGCAGCCCCTGTACTGAAGACAGCAGGGTCAGGGCAAGGCAGAGAGAGGAACTTGGATGCAGCTTTCCAAGCTGTCTTCCTGAAATGCCACACCAGTGGATGGAATTGGTATTGCACATTTCCAAAACCAGATCCATAGTCCTTTCACTGCTAAAGGAATCAGAAAAACGAATAAATCTCGCTCCTTTCACAAAGGGGTTACAATGATGTTTCTTCTGCTATTGCCAGTGTATTTGTGTTCTGGGTGTTCATTAGGAGACTAAAAACCACAATCTGAAATAATAAGTCATTTTTACTTCACTTAAAATAGAATCAGGAAAATGAGAGGAGATGTCATCTTCAAGGGTTTAAAGTGGCACTGAGACTAAGCTGCCTGTCCAGCTGCAGGCCTTCTGGGCCTGTCATTGAGCACTGGCTCCTTCCTGATGATTAACCACTGTTAATAGCTTTGCCACTTCTCTGGGAGACTTCCAGACATTTGTGTCTAATCTTGTTGCTATGTATGCTTATTTGTTAGGTACTCTACAGGAAAGAAAAATGAGTCTGGTCTGGTGCTTTTGCTATTTAACCTATTTCTTTACCACACAGAAAACAGAAAATCACTGACAAGATTTCTAATAAATAAATACTATTCAGGTTTTATCACTGTTAACATGAAAGACTACTTCTGCTTATAACTGATGTACCAGTTCAGCTTAAGCATGTTAAAAAACTTGAAGTGAAAGTATGCACATTACTTAAAAAAAAATAACCAACAGGCTCATAATAAAGTCTCTCACTCTACCACCATTTATGACTACTTTCTTTTTTCTCCTTTTTCTTTATAGTTGGCTCTGTATTTTAAATACTGAAATTTTAATTTATTGGCTTTTAGATACTGATTGAATAGGTGTCTGTATCCTCAAACATTTGAAATTTTCACTATGTGCTACAGACCAGGTTAGATACACTACACAGATTTTCTCATTAAATTTCACAAAAATACAGGAAGCGTATGTTATGTGTGTGTCTGTACTATGTGGTGGGGAAGGATCCCACTTTTATAGATGAGGAAACTGAAACTCTATGAAACAAGTGCTTTTTAGAAAACTTACTTGAATCACCAAAAAACTAAAAAAAATATAAAAGCACATCCCATATGCACAGATATATCCTATATATTTACCCTGTGTGTACTGTTTACAGAGCTCCTATGATGTGGTAAATATTGCATTTACAATGCTGGGGTAAGATATAGTCCTTTCATCTAGTGAGAGAGAAACTACTTAGTATAGTAAAATATATGAGCACTAAAAAGCTATATTAATATTTACTATGACAAACAAAGGAGTCATTAACTGTACCTAAGAAGGTCGAGGTAGCTTCATAGGGGAAGTAGCTATTTTTATAATTTTGAAGGATGAGTATTTCCTATTTTCCTAATATCATAAAGTTGGAATGGTTAAAAAGGATTATACATTCAGACTGAGAATTGGATTTACCACTGCATTATTGTCAAAATGCCCCAACTAATAATATATACCAAGTAGTAACACAGTATTAGCAAAAGTGATAGCACTGGGATTTAATCTAGGTTTTCCTGGCTTCAAAGTCCTGTGCTCTTTGTTTCCCAATAGCTGGATTATATGCTGTCTTTATTATCCAAATCCTTTCTTCCAATCTATAACTATGCCTTATATTAAAATCATAACCAGTTTTTGCTTAAAAAGATATAGCTCAGGTATTAAGTATGGCTCAGAAAAGTTTATGTCATTATATTAAATCTATAATGTATTATTCCATAAGAACATGCTAGTTCATGCTTTAGTAATCTGAAATATGAACGAAGTGTAAACAATGAAAATAACATAGACTTTGAAGTCAAACACACCAGGTTTCAGATTCTGGCTCCATCTTTTCTAGCTCTTTGAGCTTGAGTAAGTCACAATCACTCAGTAGGCTTTCTTTTGTATATAATGTGAATAATTAATACCTACCTCACTGGATATGGTACATGAGTGAAAAACACAGAAAATACCTAATACAGTAGGACCTCAAAAATACATAATATTCAGCTACCAGATGAAGAACTTCACAGTACTCAACACAACATCAGAAAAGCCTGTGTGTATGTCAAGAGGAAACTTTAAAAAGGGTATTAAAAAATTAAAAACTTCTTTAAGTATGTGAGGAGTAAAAGACATCCACATTGGCATTACCTGCAGTTTGTTATTTTACAGGTAATATGAAAAGGTTCTTCTAGGTTTACAGTATCCGGAATTGCCTCCAAAGACAACCTAACATCTCCGTAACCTGGAGCCTAAGAGAAAAAACAATACATTTAACATACATCTATTCGAAAACCTTTCCATTTTAGTGAAGGTACCACACCAGCACATCCACTCGAAGTTGTTGGGTCTTCCACCTTAATTCTGGAAAATATTTCTGACATTCTGCTCTTCGTTCTAATGTTTCTGTCGCTACTACCTGAGGACCAGCACTATTGATCATGACTGTTTTGCTATAATTACTTCATGTTCGGTAGGGTTAAAATGAATTTCACAGTTAAAACAGGAAAGAAATTTCAGGGGGTCTGATCTCAAAGGGATGCTTTCCAAAGATACTGTAGCTTATACATAAATGAAATAGGTAGGGTCACTGCTGAAACAGGAAGAAGAAGATCACTTTGAAATGATCCAGGAAGAAAATCATGTCTATTCATGAGAGAAATGTAGGCACGGATCATAGGAACCAAAGCTTAAAACATGCCATGACAGACAGGTTGATAGCTAAGTGCTGCATAATAAATTAGGCTTATTTTTTTCCCCAATCATTTCCTTAAATAGTAAAAGAAAGTAAACTTTGGAATATATCACAACAGTTAATATTCTGTATAAAGGGAGGATTCTGGATTCTGCAGCATCTTCTTACTAGTAGAAGGAGGACTGGTAGCTACCCCTACTCTCAAAGCAGAAATTAGGTAAAATATCCAACTGATGTTTACAAGATAATTTTAGTAAGACTCTCTGAGTTTCAGATGACTCAGATTTTAAACATCTTAAAAAAAAGTATGAACTTAGTTGGTCAATGTGCTAAGTCCACAAGTTTCAGGACATTGCAAAAAAGAGAACTTTAATATGGTGGAAGTCAGATGACACTGAGCATGAATTATAGTATGAATGATTGGTAAGCACTTAATTTCTGTTTGGTAAAGTAAAAAGCCAAGTATTATGGATAAATTGACATTTGAACATTTTTCATTCATCTCAATACCAACTGTCTTTCTAGAGGTAAGTAAAATTATTAGTATTTTATCTCTTATTCTCTAGTAATATTAATAATGCCTTTCACAGTGCTCTGATTTTTAGTGATACACCTTAGAAAATTTAAATTGTTCTAACTATCTGCCCCCCACACACCAAAATCCCCACCAATGTTTTCCCAGACTCACCATTCTTTGAAGTTGGCTGGTCTGTAATCTTCCCCTTTCACCTAGATTTGTTTTCCACACTATATCCAGTTTTCCAATTACTGTTACTCCTTTAATGATGCCTGCTTTTTCTGCAAACTCCTTCTTGGGTTTTAGGCAGTATAAGTACTGGCGTGTGTCCATTGGCTGCAAATATGCTCTTGACCCAAATGTAGTTACACTGAGAGGGGTGGAGACAGAGAGGGAAAAAATTCACTAGAATCTTTTAAAAGAAAAACCATGGGTGTGACTGTTCTTTGGACAGGAACTGAATGATTTACCATCCAAAGACCTAGAATAGGACAGACAGTTCAGTAGTTTCAACACAAATAGAAAGGACTTGTACTAAGGATTCATTTTCCTTAATTTTTTTTTCAGTTGATAGAGAACATCTTCAGATTCTTTATAATAGAATGCAATGTATTACCTAAAATATTGGACATGTATCAATTAGCTGAACAAATGCAATAGAAATCATAATGTGAAGTATACTGTCCCTTTTCTCTAAAATTATCAAAGAACATAGTTTAGAGTAAGAAGAGGCATACCATTGTAAACTCAGCGATCATTTTCAAAATGAACTAAAAGATCAGGAAAAGAATGGAAAATTACTTCTTCAGTGGAGGCATGGGAGGCCAAGAACTTTCCTGTATCTAACCACCATAATAAGGTTCAAGTAAACTTTCCATTCTTGATTAATAAAATCAGGTACTTTCTTCAGCTATTACCTTATCCTTATTAATGACAATACTACATTTATTTATTCTTCCTCTTCTAAATTACCTATACAAAGACATATCATTTTCACATAAAAGCAATCCTTTTGATACAGAGAGAATAATTCTTCTTAAAACTCACCCTTCACCTTTACCCTTGCTAACTTCTCCATCATGCCTTCCCAAGCCTCAGTTTTATCATTTGCAGGATAAGGATGAAAGGTTCCATATTTACCTCGCTGAATTATAATGAAAATAAAAGAACAAGTATTTCAAATGTAAAACAAAATGCAAATGATTAGGATCTTTATGTTTATGTGGAGGAAGAGATGAATAGGTGGAGCACAGGAGATTTTTAGGGCAGTGAACTATTTTGTATAATACAGTAATGGTGGCTACATGTCATTGCACTTGTCAAACTACAGAGAATGTACAACACAAAGAGTGAACTTCGGAGTAAACTATGGAACTTTAGTTACTAATAAGTATCAATATTGGTTTATCAATGAAACAAGTGTGCTACATTAAAACAAGATGTAAATACAAATACACTGTGAGTGGGAAGAGGGGCATGTGGGAACTCTGTGCTTTCTGAACAATTTCTCTGTGAACATAAAAATTCTCTAAAAAGTTAAGTCTATTAACTAAAAAAAATAACAAACTACCCTAAAGTAACAAATATTAGAAACATTCATCTTTCAAAATAAGGACACACACTTTATAATTCATATTTACCATTCTCCAGCTTGATTGACTGAATTTAATTCTGCTACATTGTACATTATAGATGGCTCCAATGAAACTTTCTCCATAAACATGGGTGAGGTTGTAATATTCTGAATCTGGGCTTCCAGAAATACTTCATCAGTCTGAGGATATGAAAAAAATATCCACCAAAGTGTGATGGCATTTAAAATATCAACAAAGATATCTGATCTATATGAAGAAAAAATATTAACCACAAATGTGATTAGTTCATGCCTGCAAATCGAAGTTATAATTAATGCAAGAAAAGAAATCTTTATCCTAATGTAATTAACGGGCAAAGTCAAGTGTTAGTCAACTGACAACTTGTCAAACAATGGATGGGGGATAACTATAATATTTTTTTGGATTAATATCCAAAAATACTTAACTGGAATTTCATTCACAAATATCCTTCATCTTTTAGAAGTCAGTAAAATGTTAAAATGTGAGTATAATGAATACACCTGTGTACCTATCATTTTAGTGATATATTAAGATAACTAGGTCTTCATTATAATATTCCAGCATAATATAACTTCAAATGTCACATTACTTCAATTTAGATAATATAGGGACCACAAGTACAGTGAATAATAAATATTTTTTAATCTTACAGGTCTTACCTTTTTTTTAATTAAAGCAGTTTGATATAGTGGTCATTAGTGTTTCCTTGGTTCATTTTACATGTATATTTAGGGTTAAAAATACATGTGAAGTATACCTGAACAATTTTAGGGCTTTTAAATCAAAACATAATTTGTAGTTTTAGTGACAGTTTTGGAAACTGATACTATTTAGCAGTATTTTAGTCACTGAGTAACTTTATGTAGTTTTATTTAAAATTCTGTATTCCCTGATTATTTATGCTAAACATCCTTTTTATGCTATTTGGTTATTAATTTGTGTGTAACTGAAGGATAAAAGACAACTTGGTTCATTTTTTAAACAAACCTATATAAAAAATGATAAGGATATCTAAGAATTATTTTGTTCAAAAATTTCATAATATATATATGCAGAAACAAAATAAACTATGACCAAAAAATGTGTCATTTATGAGTTTTAACAGTAAATCCAGGAAAATCAAAATCATTTGCAAAAATACAATGATGAAGTCATAATTTAATGTGTAATTATCTAAAATAAGGCAGACTCTTTAGTTGTTGGCACATGGGCTCAAATAAAAATACAAATACAATGATTTATTAGTTTAAAAGAACGTACCATTTAAAGGAATTGTTCTGTTACTTTTTCTCAAAAAAAAAAATCCCATCAATCCATTGCTTTAAAGAAAAAAAAAAAACCACAGACCCACATTACAGATTAAATGCAATTTTATGTATGGATTTTATAAAAGTTTAGATAAATTGAAAGAAAAGCAGCATAATGGAAAATTAAGTTAGTTGAATAGTTAGTATAAAGTGATTTGACATTTGAAAAATTAAGAATTTGTGCTAAGACAGTTGATGTTCTTATGTATGTAATGCCATATAAGCAAATGCTGCTTATACTAAATAGAAATTGAATATATGATTTTAGCCAAGTTGGGAAAATCTGATTTTCTTCTGTTTACTGTAGTCAAAGGCCATCTTTATCTGACCCAGACTTAAAACTAAAATCACAGTGCATTTGAAGATGAATTTCAGTTAGGTAGTTTATTCAAAGATTTGAAGTACAGTAGGGTACTTTATAGTAAGATGCTGAAAATCCCAAGGCTATTTTAAACAAGGCTAACATGTCTTTTTAAAAAAACACCTAAAAGGAAAACACTAAAAATGAAAATTTAGTTGTTTCAATCTGACGGTTTAATCTTTGATCTAATTTTTTTCACACAGATTAAGAAAAATCAATCTAATAGAAAAAGTACAAACAAATTATATACCTTTTTGAAGTCACCTAGGTGGTATTCACAACTAACTTTGTTTTTCCACTATGCTTTGTAAGGAGAGGTTAACTAGGCAGAGAGTCAAAAGGGTGAGTATGAAAAGCATATAAATTTATAATAAAAAATCAAATTACCACAGAACTGAGGTCACTCTAATGGAAAAATAAAAAAGAAAAATTAGCAAAATCAGAATTAAATGTTAAAGAAAAAGAATAACTCTAAAATAAAATGCATTTCTGCATTTTTAAAATCTACTAAACAAGACAGCATTAGTAAAACAAGGAAGTAAACAGAAAGTAACATAAGGAAATATGACACATCATTTTTCTAAAAAGGTGAAACTGCTATGGTTAAATGAATAGAGAAGAATGCTACTGGCGAACACAGAAACAGGAGCAAATACTCAAGGGCACATCTGAGGGAGAGGTACACCCAATGCCTTTCCAGTGCTATAAATTCTTTACCTATATTGTAATTCTTCATAGATTGCTTAGGATGGATATACACTACCTTCTACATTCAGAATAGATAACTATTGTTTAATGTCTCCTAAGTCTGTGTAATAAGGAAATCATTTTTTTTTAAGGCATATCCTGGTCATCAGAGTTGCATGGGTCACTCTTCAGGGAAGGCTAGGCTAGACCACTTTTGACAACTGACTTTATTCTCTTCTTGTTAACAGATTTCATAGTTTGTCTTTTGTTCACATGTGTTTCTAAAGCTATTTATTTATTAAAGGCCATCTAAAATGTCAATTCTTTCATCAAACACATTGCTGGAAATAATTTCCCACCTCTGTTTCCAGAATGTAAGTGCACTTCGTAATCTGGGGCACAGTGTGTGTGCTTACACTGCAGCTATGTCACGTTAGTCTCCTCCTAAGTGCCTTGAAGATTATGAAGAGGCTCAGTTTATATTTATTTCTCTTCAATACCTGGCATGGAAATCTGCATCCAGCAGGTAATCAAATGTTTGCATCATAGCTTCTAATGTCACCAATCTTCTTACAAGGCTACAACAGTTTCTCATGAAACTTGTTTTCCTTTAGATGATTCACATATTGTTAGAATTATCAGAAACAGTGTAAAAAGCATGTTTGAGGCAAATGTGGGCCAATAATAGTTGTGAAAGGACTAAGGCACAGAGTAGTAAACATCGCCTACTGATATTAGTGTAGTTTACTAACTCCTACAATTTACCTGAATATCCTAGCTGGGTTCAACAGAATCTGCCTCACCTGAATAGTATTTGTTTGCCACACTACTAAATACCTTAGAGAGACACTAAATGCTATTTGTTCACTCCTGGTTTTTAGAGATGTCTATTTTCAAAAGTTCAGAATTTTACTAAATTTGTTTAGCTGATATTTATTGGCAAAGTTTAAAGATGATGTCTATACAAAGTGTTAACTGAAAAATGCAGTAAACAAAATTATTACTGTGATTATAAAAATAGAGCATTATATATAAATGAGTAAAGAATGAAAGAGAATATGGATTAATGAAGGACCAATTACTTTTTGGTGTGGTGGAATTGTGGGTTTTTTCTTTTCACTCTGAATATTAGAGTTACAAAACTACCTGACAAGTATTATGATATATCACTACATTTTCAACAAAGAATACCTAAAATAGCTTAATATGTGCCTTCCTAGGAACCAAGTACTGAAAAAAACCCCATCTACAGTCCATGTGTTTTTAAACAAATGACAAATAAAGACTATTTAAAATTCATCAGGCTAAATACTTATACTACAATTAATCAACACCAAACTATTTAATAACAAAAGTTATATTACAATTAATCAACACTATACTATTTAATAACAAAAAAGGTAGAATATGTAGTATTCCAACTCCTCTAGTCCCCAAAATAAATACCAACTGTTTGAACATCTAGCAATCTAATAATCTGATGAGATTGTATCCTCTCATCAAGTATGCATATGCTTCACTATGTGCTCAATATTCCATGTGGTTGTGCCTGACACTTTAGTTTTCTAAAATCCTTTCCTTCCAGACTCAGCTCAAGTTTTTCCTCTTCTTCCATGAAGCTTCTTCAGCCTACTCCAAAATATCATCCCTGGAGTTCCTGAAGCATATCTTTTCATATCATTCTCTTTAGATTCACTGTATATTATCCTAGGTATATATACACACGTATATATATATATAAAATATATACGTTGTTCTTTTATGTACTTTTTTCTGTTATCTAATAGGTCTTTACTGCAGGTTAGGCTCCTTATCTTAGACATCTTAGTTTGCCAAGTTGTAGTACAAACTTTATACTGAATAAAAACTCAGAAGCCAAAAGTAAAAATACATATTAAATTTAACATGTGATTGCAAACTTCTGACCATCTGGTTTAGAGGAATAAAGACATAATTTTCATTTCAAAATACTGTATTTGAGTACCTCTGAATCTATCACTGTGGTATGAGATGCATGGTTTTGGGGGATTGGTATATGGGAACCCATTAGGAAATCTGCTTTTTCTGGAACTCTAGAAGCCAGAATAAATTAGAATTTTATAAAAGAAATCCAAGCAATAAAACCTTTCTCCTCTAACAAATTGTTTTATCTCCTTTGTTAGGATAGAAGATAGATTATCTTCTATTCTAAAAGTTACTTTTTCTATATTTTTACCAAACTTTTCTTCCAAAGAACATTTTCAGCCATTCACCAAACTCAGCAACCTAACTCTGGCACAGTGACTTCCCAGGACAAAGAATTTAATGTGCTGAGCTCTACTTGCCAGTATTTTTCCACATGAATATTAAATCTTTTTTGCAGGGTTTCATCAACTATTTTTGTAATATCAGAACCACATTGTAAATACTTAAGATTGCTAGTGTTTTTAGACAGTAACACAGTCATTAAATGGAATTATAGGGCAATCACTTAATGAAAGGGGTGAAAGTTAACAAGAATAAAAATCAAGGCATACTGATTTCATGTAAGTTGAATACAACAGATTAAAAGAGATATACAATAAATTATTCCCTTTTGATTAAACTTTATGCTCATTTTTCACATGTAATTTGCAGTCCTACCAGCAATTTACTTCAATATGAAAAGAAATGTAATACATCAGAATTTGAGTCAAATAAGATCTTACTGTTTAATGAAAATCCCATTAAGTGCCCAATACATACCTCTGCATTGTAAAATTTTGTTTTCACATCCAATGGTTTGAGAACCTAGTTGAATAAAGCACATCAATCAGAGATTCTTCTCATTTTTCCATTTACTTTTATTTGTTTTAAATCATAGGGCTTAAATTTGTCAAAGGCATTTTCCAATTTTAATTGTAAAAGACTTCTAATGGGTAAGCAATACTCTTGTAAAAACAAAAACAAAAACAAAAAACAATCCCAAATGCATTTTTAAGAAAGCAACCATCATTTCTTGACTGGGTGATAGTTATGTTGAGTTACATGGGTGTCTACTTCATAATATTTTGTTAAACTGAACATGTTTTATTTATTTATATATATGTATATTTCACAAAAAATGTTTATCAGAACAAGCAACAGAACCTTTTATCTTCCTTTTAAAGGACATGCAAAAATCTTAAACAAGTGATGCAGCAAAGCAATAGCAAAATTTTTTTCCTCTCAATAGTATGCTTCCACTCACAGAAGAATGAAAACTGTATGTAGCATCATACCTAAGACCTACATTTACACAGAAAAACAATGCCTTTTCATTTCTCCACTCACACACATACATGTGTTAAACCAGTGGTTTTTAACTTTTTTATTTTTGATCATGGAATTTGGAAATTGTATATAAATATAAAATTCTACCTGCAGTAACGTGACTCATATAATCCCTGAGGGAAGCTTGGTGCATTAAGCCCAAATCAATAATCTCTCATTTAAAGATTTCTTTAGAGATTTGATATTATTTACACATAATTTATCTGGGCTTTTACACTCATTTTATGCCTCTTCTATATTCATGTGTTTTGTCAAGGCAAGACAACAGAACAATTTTGTTTTTGTTAAAAATCTTCAAGTAGGGGTGGCGCCAAGATGGCGGCATGAGTAGAGCAGCAGAAATCTCCTCCCAAAACCATATATATTTTTGAAAATACAACACATACAACTATTCCTAAAAGAGAGACCAGAAGACATAGGACAACAGTCAGACTACATCCACACCTGTGAGAACCCAGTGCCTCATGAAGAGGGTAAGATACAAGCCACAGCCTGGCGTCACCCAAGCACCCCTCACCTCAGCACCCGGTGGGAGGAGAGGAGTCGGAGCAGGGAGGGAGAGGGAGCCCAGAACTGCTAAATAGCCAGCCCTAGTCATCCACAGCTGGAGCGCAGACACATAGTGCATGGGGTGCTGGATACTAGGGAAAAGGGACAGTAAGAACTGTGAGTGGGTCACCGCAGACGGTGCCACTGGAACAAAGAAAAGCGAGTGCTCTTTGAAGATCTTAAAGGGACAGGGACCCCACCACTGTATGGATGCGCCCCGGCGCAATCAGCCCAGTAACTGGGAATCCAAGGGAACTCTGGGTGCCCCAACCCACTGGGCAGCAGCGCAGCTCGGAGGTCCCTCATAGTGATAAAGAGCCTCCCATCTGTTCCCCCTCCAGCGCAACTCTGCCATAGAGGCAGTGGCCACACCCACAGCAACCAGGCAGAGGTTCTTTCACAGCGGCCAGGCAAGAATCAGACACCCCGTATGTGTGCAGCGGCTGAGCACAAGCCGCTAGGGGTTGCTGTTCTTCCAGGAGAGGAAGGCCACAAACGAGCAAGAAGGGACATTCTCCCAGCTGACACATGTGCAACCTCTCCACAACTACCTCTATCACCACGAAAAGGCAGAAGAATTTGATACACACCAGACTAACCCAGAAATCCTCCCCTGAGAAGGAATCTGGGGAGATAGACCTAACCAATCCCCCTGAAAAAGAATTCAAAATAAAGGACATAACTATGCTGATGGAGCTGCAGAGAAATATGCAAGAGCTAAGGGATGAAGTCCAGAAGGAGATTACAGAAATGAAACGATCTCTGGAAGGACTTAAGAGCAAACTGGACGAGGTGCAAGAGGCCGTTAATGGAATAGAAATCAGAGAACAGGAACATAGAGAAGCTGACGCAGATAGAGTTAAAAGGATCTCCAGGAATGAAACAACATTAAGAGAACTGTGTGACCAATCTAAAAGGAACAATATCTGCATTATATGGGTACCAGAAGAAGAAGAGAGAGAAAAAGGGATAGAAAGTGTCTTTGAAGAAATAATTGCTGAAAACTTTCCCAAACTGGGGAAGGAAATAATCGCTCAGACTACGGAAGTACACAGAACTCCCAACAGAAGGGATGCAAGGAGGACAACACCAAGACACATAATAATTAAAATGGTGGGCGGAGTCAAGATGGCGGCATGAGTAGGACAGTGGGAATCTCCTCCCAGAAACATATATTTGAAAATACAACAAATACAACTATTCCTAAAAGAGAGACCAGAAGATACAGGACAACAGCCAGACAACATCCACACCTGCGAGAACCCAGCGCTTGATGAAGGGGGTAAGATACAAGCCCCAGCCCGGCAGGACCCGAGCACCCCTCACCCCAGTTCCCGGCAGGAGGAGAGGAGTCAGAGCAGGGAGGGAGAGGGAGCCCAGGACTGCTGAACACCCAGCCCCAGCCATCCGCACCAGAGCGCAGACACAGTGCATGCATGGGGTGCTGGATACTAGGGAAACAGGACAGTAAGACCTGTGAGCGGGTCTCCGCAGCTGGCACCCCTGGGACAAAGAAAAGTGAGTGCTTTTTGAAAGTCTTAAAGGGACAGGGACCCCACAGCTGGACGGAAGCATCCTGGGACACTTAGCACAGAAGCTGGGAATCCCGGGGAACTCCAGGCACCATAACCCCCTGGGCATCAGCTCTGAGATCCCCCGTCCATTCCCATTCTGGCGCCCCGCCATAGCAGAGTAGCAGCCTGAGGCTGGCCATGTCCACAGCAAGGGAGCTTCCTATATAGTGGCTGGGCAAGGAACAGAGACCCAGTCTATGTGCAACTGCCCAACACAAGCCACTAGGGATTGCTGTTATCCCAATAAAGAAAGGCCAGGAGCAAGTGGAAAGGGTCTTGGCTCTCACTGCTGGGAAAGGGTCCCAGCAGACAGATGAGTCAATAGCATACCACTGTGTCTATCAACATAAAAAGGCAAGAAAATTTGATCCAGACCAGACTAACCCAGACATATTCCACATCCTCCCCTGAGAAGGAATTTGGGGAGATAGATTTAATCAATCTTCCTGAAAAAGAATTCAAAACAAAAGTCATAACCATGCTGATGGACTTGCAGAGAAATACGCAAGAACTAAGGAAGGAGAATACAGAAATAAAACAAGCTCTGGAAGGATGTCAAAGAAGAATGGACTAAACACAAGAGACCATAAATGGACTAGAAATCAGAGAACACAAATGCAGAGAAGCTGATGCAGAGAGAGATAAAAGGATCTCCAGGAATGAAAAAATATTAAGAGAACTGTGTGACCAATCGAGATGGAACAATATTCGCATGATAGGAGTACCAGAAGAAGAGAGAGAAAAAGGGATAGAAAGTGTCTTTGAAGAAATAATTGCTGAAAACTTCCCCAAACTAGGGGAAGAAATGGCCTTTCAGACCACAGAAGCACACAGAACTCCCATGACAAGGGACCCAAGGAGGGCAACACCAAGACACATAATAATTAAAATGGCAAAGATCAAAGACAAGGACAGAGTACAGAGTATAAAAGGCAGCCAGAAAAAAAGGTCACCTACAAAGGAAAACCCATCAGGCTATCATCAGACTTCTCAACAGAAACCTTACAGGCCAGAAGAGAATGGCATGATATACTTAATGCAATGAAAAAGAAGGGCCTCGAACCAAGAATACTGTATCCAGCACGATTATCATTTAAATATGAAGGAGAGATTAAACAATTCCCAGACAAAAAAAAGTTGAGGGAATTTGCCTCCCACAAACCACCTCTACAGGGTGTCCTAGAGGGACTGCTCTAAATGGGAACACTCCTAAAAAGAGCACAGAACAAAACACCCAACATATGAAGAATGGAGGAGGAGGAAAAAGAAGGGATAGAAATAAAGAATCACCAGACAGTGTTTATAATAGCTCAATAAGCGAGTTTAGTTAGACAGTAAGATACTAAAGATGCTAATCTTAAACCTTTGGTAACCACAAACTTAAAGCCTGCAATGGCAATAAGAACATACTTATCGATAATCACCCTAAATGTAAATGGACTGAATGCACCAATCAAAAGACACAGAGTAATAGAATGGATAAAAAAGCAAGACCCATCCATATGCTGCTTACAAGAGACTCACCTCAAACCCAAAGACATGCACAGACTTAAAGTCAAGGGATGGAAAAAGATATTTCATGCAAACAACAGAGAGAAAAAAGCAGGTGTTACAATATTAGTATCAGACATAACAGACTTCAAAATAAAGAAAGTAACAAAAGATAAAGAAGGACATTACATAATGATAAAGGGCTCAGTCCAATGAGAGGATATAACCATTATAAATATATATGCACTCAACGCAGGAGCACCAACATATGTGAAACAAATACGAACAGAATTAAAGGAGGAAATAGAATGCAATGCATTCATTTTAGGAGATTTCAACATGTCACTCACTCCAAAGGATAGATCCAGCGGACAGAAAATAAGTAAGGACACAGAGGCACTGAACAACACACTAGAACAGATGGACATAATAGACATCTAAAGAACTCTACATCCAAAAGCAACAGGATACACATTCTTCTCAAGTGCACATGGAACATTCTCCAGAATAGACCACATATAGGCCACAAAAAGAGCCTCAGTAAATTCAAAAAGACTGAAATTCTACCAACCAACTTTTCAGACCACAAAGGTATAAAACTAGAAATAAATTGTACAAAGAAAACAAAAAGGCTCACAAACATATGGAGGTTTAACAACATGCCTCTAAATAATCAACGGATCAATGACCAAATTAAGATAGAGATCAAGGAATATATGGAAATAAATGACAGCAACAACACAAAGCCCCAACTTCTGTAGGACGCAGTGAAAGCAGTTGTAAGAGGAAAGTATATAGCAATCCAGGCATACTTAAAGAAAGAAGAACAATCCCAAATGAATAGTCTAACATCTCAATTATCGAAATTGGAAAAAGGAGAACAAATGAGGCCTACAGTCAGCAGAAAGAGGGACATAATAAAGATCAGAAAAGAAATAAATAAAATTGATAAGAATAAAACAATAGAAAAAAAATCAATGAAACCAAGAGCTGGTACTTTGGGAAAATAAACAAAATAGATAAACCTCTAACCAGACTTATTAAGAGAAAAAGAGAATCAACACACATCAACAGAATCATAAATGAGAAAGGAAACATCATGATGGACCCCACAGAAATACAAAGAATAATTAGAGAGTACTATGAAAACCTATATGCTAACAAGCTGGAAAACCTAGAAGAAATGGACAACTTCCTAGAAAAGAACAACATTCCAAGACTGACCAAGGAAGAAACACAAAATCTAAACAAACCAATTACCAGCAAAGAAAGTGAAGCAGTAATCAAAAAACTACCCAAGAACAAAACCCCAGGGCCAGATGGATTTACCTCGGAATTTTATCAGACACACAGAGAAGACATAATACCCATTCTCCTTAAAGTGTTCCAAAAAATAGAAGAGGAGGGAATACTCCCAAACTCATTCTATGAAGATGTTGGTGGAGGCAAAGACCCCAATGCCTGATGAAGGTAGATGCAAAAATACTCAAGAAATTTTAGCAAACTGAATTAAAAAATACATCAAAAGGATCATATACCATGACCAAGTGGGATTCATCCCAGGAAAGCAAGGATGGTATAGCATTCAAAATTCCTTCAACATCATTCACCACATAAACAAAAAGGAAAGAAACCACATGATCATCTCCATAGATGCTGAAAAAGCATTTGACAAAATTCAACATCCATTCATGATAAAAACTCTCAACAAAATGGGTATAGAGGGCAAGTACCTCAACATAATAAAGGCCATATATGATAAACCCACACATAACATCATACTGAACAGCGAGAAGCTGAAAGCTTTTCCTCTGAGATTGGGAACAAGGCAGGGATGCCCACTCTCCCCACTGTTATTTAACACAGTACTAGAGGTCCTAGCCACGGCAATTAGACAAAACAAAGAAATACAAGGAATCCAGATTGGTAAAGAAGAAGTTAAGCTGTCACAATTTGCAGATGACATGATATTTTACATGAAAAACCCTAAAGACTCCATTCCAAAACTACTAGAACTGATATCGGAATACAGCAAAGTTGCAGGATACAAAATTAACACACAGAAATCTGTGGCTTTCCTATACACTAACAATGAACCAATAGAAAGAGAAATCAGGAAAGCAATTCCATTCACAATTGCATCAAAAAGAATAAAATACCTAGGATTAAACCTAACCAAAGAAGTGAAAGACCTATACCCTGACAACTATAAGGCACTCTTAAGAGAAATTAAAGAGGACACTAACAAATGGAAACTCATCCCATGCTCTTGGCTAGGAAGAATTAATATCATCAAAAAGGTCATCCTGCCAAAACAATATACAGATTTAATGCAATCCCTATTGAATTACCAGCAACATTCTTCAATGAACTGGAACAAATAGTTCAAAAATTCATATGAAAACACCAATGACCCCGAACAGCCAAAGCAATCCTGATAAGGAAGAATAAAGTGGGGGGAGGGGTGACGGTTTCACTCCCCAACTTCAAGCTCTACTACAAAGCCATAGTAATCAAGACAATTTGGTACTGGCACAAGAACAGAGTCACAGACAAGTGGAACAGTATAGAGACTACAGACATTAACCCAAACATATATGGATATGGTCAATTAATATTCAATAAAGGAGCCATGGACATACAATGGGGAAATGACAGTCTCTGAAACAGATGGTGCTGGCAAAACTGGACAGCTACATGTAAGAGAATGAAACTGGATCACTGTCTAACCACATAGACAAAAGTAAATTCGAAATGGATCAAAGACCTGAATGTAAGTCATGAAACCATAAAACTCTTAGAAAAAATCATAAGCAAAAATCTCTTCGACATAAAATGAGCAACCTCTTCATGAACATATCTCCCCAGGCAAGGAAAACAAAAGCAAAAATGATCAAGTGGGACTATATCAAGCTGAAAAGCTTCTGTACAGCAAAGGACACCATTAATAAAACTAAAAGGTACCCTACAGTACTGGAGAATATATTCATAAATGACAGATCCGATAAAGGCTTGACATCCAAAATATATAAAGAACTCACGCACCTCAACAAAGAAAAAGCAAATAATCCAATTAAAAAATGGGCAGAGGAGCTGAACAGTTCTCCAAGGAAGAAATTCAGATGGCCAACAGACACATGAAAAGATGCTCCACATCACTAGTTATCAGAGAAATGCAAATTAAAACCACAATGAGATATCACCTCCCACCAGTAAGGATGGCTACCATCCAAAAGACAAAGACAAATGTTGGCAAGGTTGTGGAGAAAGGGGAACCCACCTACACTGCTGGTGGGAATGTAAATTAGTTCAACCACTATTGAAAGTATGGTGGTTCCTCAAAAAGCTCAAAATAGAAATACCATTTGACCCAGGAATTCCACTTTTAGGAATTTACCCTAAGAATGCAGCAGCCCATTTTGAAAAAGTCAGATGCACTTCTGTGTTTATCACAGCACTATTTAGAATAGCCAAGAAATGGAAGCAACCTAAGTGTCCATCAGTAGATGAATGGATAAAGAAGAGGTGGTCCATATACACAATGGAGCATTATTCAGTCATAAGAAGAAAACAAATCCCACCATTTGCAACAGCTAGAGGGTATTATGCTCAGTGAAATAAGCCAGGCTGAGAAAGACAAATGCCAAATGATTTCACTCACATGTGGAGTATAAGAACAAAGAAAAACTGAAGGAACAAAACAGCAAGAGAATCACAGAACCCAAGAATGGACTAACAGTTACCAAAGGGAAAGGGACTGGGGAGAATGGAGGGAAGGGTGGGATATGGGCGGGGAAAAAGAAAGGGGGTATTATGATTAGCATGTATCATGTGGGGTGGCCATGGGGAGGGCTGTACAATACAGAGAAGACAAGTAGTGATTCTACATCTTACTATGCTGATGGACAGTGACTGCAATGGGGTTTGTGGGGGGGTGTTTGGTTAAAGGGGGGACCCTAGTAAACATAATTTCTTCATGTAATTGTAGATTAATTATAACAAAATAAAAAGGAAAAAAATATATATATATAAAAAAATTTTTGAAGTGAAATATTACATTTCCAATGATAATTTCTTTAAATTTAATTTAGTCTGACTTTGGGTTGCTAGTAATATAACATATCCAAAAATATTATGCTATTTACTTTATTTTGGGCCTATTTTCTCTGCAGAGAAGTAGGAATAACTTGATAGGGATAAAAAATGGCATCTAAAAACTATTTACCATTGTCATGTTCAATACCTGAAATTTGAAGAATTTTCTAAAATACATCTTTTCTCCGCCCTGAGTTGTGTAACTCACTGCACACACCAAGCTGCAACAGAAAGACATCTTAATGATTTTGAATCATTTCCAACTTTGTTCCTTAATAGTAAATCTAACATACCTCAATTCAAGTAATGAATTTGGAAAATATCTATACCACTGATGTTAAAGTATAGCCAAATGAGCCTAGAACAGGAAAAATTGTTTCAGCACATATGGAAATAATTTCATGATAAAATGTTCTGATGAGTAGAATAAGTTATATCATTTTTATAACAGGAAGTCAGAAACTTTTCCTTCAAAGAGTGAAGGATATATTCTAAAATAAATCCCAGAATAACCAAATATTTAAATGTAAAAAAATAAGTTTATATAAACTAGATGAAAATGTAAATTTTTTTAAAATTCCAGGATGGGGAAAGACTGTTAACATAAGTGCAATGGAAAGGAAAAAACTCTTACAAATTTGTGAATTGAATAAATCCAGAACACCGAAACAAAATTAAAAAGCAAACAACTTTTGCTTTTTAATTCTAACAATATGAAGAGACATTCTTGTAAGCAAAACATTAATATCTCATTCAAAACAGGAGAAAAGGATAGATAGATAAATCAAAGTACCATTATTGGCTAACAAAAATATGAAATGTTCAGCATCACAAGTAGTCAAAAAACAAATTTAAATAAGAATTTTTTCCATTTCTTAAGATTTGGCAAAAATTGTTTGCAAGTGATATCAGGGTTGGTGAGGCTTGAGAGAAAGTGACTCTCTACTATTATCAGTTATACAAAATTTGGAAACTAATCCTTCAGTAAGAGTCTTAATAATGCTTACATACTACTGTAGTAAACCCAGTTCAAGCAATCTATCATAGGAAATATTAAGGTGTTCAACACTATGTTATTTATAATAGTGAAAGACTGGAAATAATCTGAAGTCCAACAGAAGGGTGAACAAAGTGTGTAAGGTAAAGCCATTTAAAAATAATGTTTTCAAAGAACATTGACTCAAGTGGGAAAATGCTTACTTACAGTGCACTGAAAAAGATAAAACCATGGACAATATGATTAAGATTTTATAAAATATTATTTAAGTTTTCTATACATATCTGTTATGTATATGTACATAAAAAAGACTAGAAAGTAATATACCAATATTTTAATTTCTCCTTTATACCTGTACCTAGTACTAAGCCAGATGCTAGGGATACAGAGTTGATGAAAACACAGTACCTGCTCTCAAAGTGCTCATGGCAGGAAGCAGTATAGCGAAGTATATAATTTGAAGCTAGATTTAGACAAGTTCTATGACATTATTTACTGGCTGATTGGTTCTATTAAGAGTCTCATTTCCTGAAAAATGGGGATTTTACACAATAATATCATTTCAATAAACTCAATTTCAACAAATATTGACTACTGCTCTCAGCCTGACTTTGGGGACATAACAGACTTCATGGAACTCATACTTCAGTGGGGACGGCAGGCATTCAGTAAGGAACTGTAAATACAAAAGACATTAAAAAAATGACAGGATACACAAAGGGGTTAGTTATTCTAGTTTAGGCAGTTAGGAAAGCCTCTTTGAGGAATTTATACTGAATCTGAGAGATGAAGAAGTGTAAATAAATTGAACAAAATAACAAAGGCATTCCTTGCAAAGGGAGAATACAAGTCAAGTCAGGGAGTTCAGAGGTAAAAGAAGCCCCCCATGACTGCAGTGTAGTGGGAGGGAAGAGCAACCAAAGGTGAGAACCACAGTGGTTGGTAAGGATGAGGTTGTAGAGAGCTTTATAAAATCTTACAAAGTCAGATTTCCTGAGGGAGTGAAAGGCCACTGAAGAGTTAAGTGACTTATCCAAGATCACATAGTTAATGAATGATGGAGCTGAAATTGGAACTCTAGAAAATTTGACTCCAAAGCTCATATCAACAATAGAATATATATAAAAAAGTACCCATGAAAGAGCCTGTCACCAAAATGAACTAATCAATTAATACTTAATGTTATATATTTTAATATGCACTTCTTTAGGACAAAGAAGGGAAGCAAAACAGTGATATAAGTAGAGATGAAAAAGAGGATAATGATAGTTAAAAACTAATAGGACTCTGTTAATTGATAGGATGTGGGGTCATAAGGCAGATGGAAAAGTATAAAACCTTAGATGGCTGAAGTTTACATATTTGCCTCTCAAAGGAAACTAGAGCATTCACATTATGTGTGTGTTTGTGTATATAAACCAGGAATACAGATTTTGAGTTTTTTTTCTCATAACTTGTTTTATTTTGGTTATTTCTGAATTCTCAGGATAGATTTAATATACAGTTAAATACAGCATTGAAAAATTGTGAATTTAAAAATAAATGCTTTTACAGTAACCGTAATGGGGTTGTTAGGGGGGACCTGATATAGGGGAGAGCATAGTAAACATAGTATTCTTCATGTAAGGGTAGATTAAAAATTTAAAAAAAAAAAAAAAAGAAAGAAAGAAAGAAAGAAAAGGGGATTACTCGTTAACAGGATAAAACTATTGGTAAATCAAAGATCAACGCATGCTTTAAATATCCTTAATGTTGATCACTTAAAGGGTGTCAGATGATCAGCTATGGAGGTACTCTTTTCTGATAATATTCCTTTCTCTTATTAAAAAAAAAAAAAAAAAGCAGTTACTGTGTGCTGACCTCCAATGAGTTCTGCACAGTGGTATAGAGGGCATGTCAAAGTGTGGGCAAAGGGTCTGTTTGTTTCTACGCAGAAGATCAAGGCCTAGCTTGGATACCCAGAAAATGAACTAAGATACGATATGAGGAGGAGCTTCCGGCATCAGCACTCTCTGGAGGACTCGTGCCGGGGGATGATCATCAAAAAGCCTCCCCAGGGATCCGGACGATGCTGCGGTTGTGGCTGCATCCAGCCCACCGTCTCCTGGACTTGCCATAAGAAGGAGGAGGGAGATGTCTAGGCTGGCATGTGCATACAGTGAGACAACGAATTTGACTGGATCTGTACTGTTGGAACTCAACCAGGAGTTGGGAGGGGTGCAAGTTGTAGCACCCCAAAATCTCATGACTATAGACTATCTATGGTTAAAAGAACATATGGGATGTGAACAGATCCCAGAAATGGGCTGCTTTAATTTGTCTGATGGTTCAAGTACAGTTGGAAAATATCCATCATATCATAGATAAATTTTCACAAATGCCTAGGGTGCCTAAATGGTTTTCTTGGCTTCACTGGAGATGGCTGGTAATTATAGATTTGCTTTGTTTATGTCACCGTATTCCTATTATGTTAATATGTGTGTGCAAATTAGTTAGTAGTTTAAAACCTATACATACTTAAGGTACTATACAAGAAGATATGTCAAAGAAATAATCAATCCTCCCAAGTTTCCTTCATATGCTACATCTATAGCTTTTCTTCTTCCTTCCTAATTACAACCCTTAAATAGAATTCGTGCCTCATATCGAATTTACCGAGTATCATAATTCCTCCAGGTGGTAAAGATACCTCGAGACAAGTGCTGGGCATAGAAGCCACAGGGCATAAATCTGCAAAGAAGTAAAAAGCTAACCTTTGCAAACAATATGGCTTCTCTCTCACTTACCAACTTTACATTTCCCTGTATGGCCCCGGAAGATGACTGGTTAGCCAGAGACGGGTAAGATTCCTCAAGGGAGGAACAACCTAAGACAGGCACAGTCGCAGGGGGGCCATCAGGTGAGAATTTGGGGATCAACAGAGGTGAGGCTCAGAACCTCACCCCCCCTGCTTTGAGAGAAATCTTCTGCATCCGTGGATGTCTTGCTGCCCTTGTCTAGCCTGGATTAATACTTAGTCCATAGGCACACACCTGATCATCTGATCATCTACATTTGCCTTCTTACAGCACTAAACTATGTTTTCTACCTTTATCTTGCATCTACCTACCACTTCAGCATTTTATTAAAAATAAAAATAATAATAATAATAGGAGAAATGTGGGATCAACATATAAATCAAGTACAAAAATCAAACGAATATTCATATTTGACCTGATTGTTTATAGGTCATAATGCATGATCAAAACCGAAAGTTTCTGTGATGAATGCCCTTGTACTGTTCACCATGTAAGAATTTATTCACTCTGTAAGAATTCGTTCACCATGTAAGAACTTGTTCGTTATGCTTCAGAAGATTGGAGACTGACGAGAATTAGGCTTGAGATGGATTAATGATTGTACATTGAGCATTGACCCCCCTATACTGAATTTTATTGTTGTTAACAACCATTTGATCAATAAATATGAGAGATGCCCTCTCAAAAAAAAAAAAATAAATAAATAAATAAATAAATAAATGCTTTTAATATCAGTAGCTATCACTTCAAAAACTAATAAATATATTTTTGATAGAGTGCTACAAGTGTTTTAAATGTTTGCATACATTTTTATTTTTTAGGTAAGATTGTCTATACATGCAAATATGAAACTAGAGATAAATGAGGGTAAATAAATATTTTTTCACTACAAAACAATCATTTTATAAGTTTGTTTCCAGTAAGCATGTAAACACTAAACATAAAATCCTTTCTGAAGTAGGTTCTTAGGCTTAATGATAAGTGGAAATAAAGCAAAAATTTCAAATAAAGGTATATGTAAGTAAAAGCCTTTGAGAATTACTAGTAAAATCAGTCCTTACATGTGTGTTCCAATTTCTTTTACTTCATGGTGTATGACATCATCAATACAACAATCGGGTTTAAGTTCAGCCACTGCAGCACTGGAGGCTGAGAGATTTAAACGCTGAGAACTTGTCTGCAGATCAGCCTTAAAAGAAAGGTAAAAATCCAAATGAGATTGGTTACCTACAAGATGCAGATGGGTATGGGTGGGAAGAATAGGGAAACAGGAACAAGGAAGGAGGGATGAAGGGGGAGCAACACTTATCTGTGTAACTCTATATAGCTCTGATGCTTAGAACCACAGTGATGGTTTACACACAAGCACACCAACAATAAATAAATAAAATAAGCAGGAAGTAGAGGGAATCCAAAATGAAATATAAACGCACCAAATGAACTTAACTATATTACAAGTGAACACAACCACAGGGGGGAGGGCAAGGAAAAAGAGAACTAATTAAGTTTAGCAAACAAAAGCTAAAGACAAAGATTGGCATACAAATGTTGCATGTTAGCTGGTACATTGCTTTTGCACAAGGGTGTGGATTAGCAACTCTGAAACTCTTATGTGTATACGATACGAGGATTAAACAAAAAAATATGGGTAACAATAGACAAATTTCTCACCTTCAGAGAAAAAAGGTACAGATAAGGAAAAGGAGAAGGCTGAAAGTTTTGGTGTTAGATTGGAATTTGAGGCACCGGTATGAACATTTGCTTTTAAAATACATACACAGATGGATATTATAAGAGAAATATAAATAGATGTGTATGCATGTGTTAGTATTTAACGCTAAAAGATAAATAACCTTCAAAACAATATTAGATGTCAGAAACCAACTAATTTATTGAACTAGAGATCAACATTAAAGTCACCATATGAAAAAGGACTACTTTCTCTAAAGTAACACCTTCCCCTTATCCAGTTACTCTCTGTCATATTCCCCTTTTTAATTTCTTTGGAACATTTACCACTCTAATTATATTAAATAGCATCCTTCCTTAATTTCACTATCACATTCAACTTGAACTTATTTTTTAACATTTTTCACAATCTAGAATTATCTTATTTATGATTTTTTTTGCCTATTTCTTTCTGTCTTCACTACCACAAATGTAAGGTCTATGAAGGCAGGAACCACTTATCTTCTCTTGCTCACTACCATCACACAATAACACCACTATGTGCCTGGCACATAGGAGGCAATTAATCAACATTTGTTGAATACTGAATGAATGAACTTATGATAAAACTTCAAGGCAAATGTCAAGAAAAATTCAGAGAAAGCAAAGATCATATTAGGTCATGGAGATTAGGAGAGGTTTTTACAAAAGAGCTAGGGTACTTTAAAATTTTTGTTTTTTCCCAAAAACCAGTTAACAGGTTTTCTGCAGTTAATTCTAACATAACATTCCTAATGCTAGGTACTTTGAAGTGGGATGTTTATTAGTGCAATCTCTTTTGTTCTTATTTTCAGTTATAAAATAGGAGTAGGAAATATTTATTAGATACCTACTATAAACAAGGCCCCAGCCTAAGCACATTACATTTTTTTCTTTGTTTCTTATTCTCGTTTTCTTTTTTAATTTTTTTATTAAGGTATTATTGATATACACTCTTAATGAAGGTTTCACATGAAAAAACACTGTGGTTACTACATTTACCCATATTATCAAATCCCCACCCATACCCCAATGCAGTCACTGTCCATCAGTGTAGTAAAATGCCACAGATTCACTGTTTGCCTTCTCTGTGCTACACTGTTTTCCTCGTAAGCACATTACATTTAATACCCACAATCCTAAAGTAGAGCATCATACTATCCCTATCTTAGAAGTAATAATTTCCTCAAAGTTACACAAGTAATAAGTAATAGAGCTGGATTCAAAATTCCTTACCAAACACTTAGAAATCAGAGAAAGGGGAGAAAAAAAAAAGACGTGGTCAAATCCATGGACTTTCTGTCAAATATGCTTTCCTATGTGTCATTTTTTTAAACAGTCATAACTACAAGGTATACTGTACATGGATGAACACTTTTTATTTTTCTCATTTTTCACTCTTATAAATAATGCTTTTCCAGGAACTGAAAGATAATCAGTAAATAAAAAAGACCAAAATCCCTGCCCCTGTGGAATTCAATGCTTAGGGAAAAGACAAGCGGAGGAAAGGAGGACTGGCTTGGGAGAGGGGAATACAATTTAGAGTGCATGGTGGGCTTTATGTAGTCAACTGGTGTTTGGATGAGTAGGATTTGAATAGGCAAAGGGAAAAGGAGAGAGAGGGAATTATTCCGACTAAGTCAAACGGAGCTAGCAAAACACCTTCAGTGTGAATGATTGAAATTATTTTCAGAGGCTATCAGGAGTTTGGTATAATTAAGGGATTCATGTTCAGGAACAGAGAAAAAAAATATTTAAAAACATCTGGAGTAAACTTCAAGAGAATAGAGGCCTTGTTTGCTTTGTTTCCTGCTATAACCTCAGTGTTTAGAATTGTGCCTGGAATATACTAGTTGTTGAATGAACGAGTAAATGTCTATTATATGTCAGCAGTTCTAAAAGTATGGTTTCCAGACCAGCAGACTATGCATTACCTGAAAACATGTCAGAAATAAAAATTTGGGATACCATTTCAGATCAATCAAATCAGAAAGTCTGGAGATGAGGCTCAGCAATCAATGTTTTAACAAGCCTTCTAGATAATTTTAATACCTTCTAAAATTTGAGAACCACTGTTACAGACTATAAGAGTTATCTATATTTTTTATTTATAGCACACTAATTACACTGTTTTTGTTTATAGAACATTTAGTTTTTTTGGTAGCCAACTAAGGTTTTCATACTGCTGAAAAGTTTTTCCAATTAAAAAAAAAATGAACCTCATGGTTTCCAGTTAAACATGGTAGATTATATAGACTTATTTCAAAATCTTATTTATATAGATTTATTTTCAAAAACAACACTAAAGTGGCAGTAAAGCAATTTAAAAAGTACAGATTCACAATCACTTTTCCATTATTCCAAAATTCCAAGGGCTATAAAAAGTTAAAGTCATGAAGGCAAAGTTCCAGAGAGCCAAAGTAATGGCAGCACTGTAACTGTGACTCTCCTAAGTCACCCTGAAACAAAAAAAAGCAAAAACAAAAAAACATACAAACCTTTGTGTTAATATAACTAGAAGGCAGCAAATGTCCAAACTTGAAATTACTTGTAAATAGACAAATACCAAATTTGCATAAGCTGTTTCTCATGCTTTACCATGAGCCTTTGAAAACAAGAGATGTTCAGGAAAAATTGAGTTGAAGAGTGAAGAGGAAAGTATGGATGGGCCTATGAACGATCTAAACCACTGCAAGAAAAACAATATCTAAACTGAGTGTGAAAATACTGAGAAGGTGTATTACTGGAAGATGAGAGCAGTCTTCAGGGAAGGGACGTAACATTTGTCTGATTGTGAAGAGGCAATCTTGGAAAGGGAACATTTCAAGGGCAAAAAGTGAATTAAAAAAGGAGAGACACCATTCAGAAACTGTGCAATTAAGGGAAAAGAAGCAAGAGGAAAAAATATAGGAGGCTTAGTGCAGTTATAAAACAGAAAAACTGAGAAACACACAACTCCTTCTTCCACCAACCTCCCCAAAACCTACCCAGTGAAGAAACTACACTGCTCACACTGCTGTGAGGGGATAGTCCTGAACTAGAGTATCAAAGTGCCTCAAACAGCACTTCACACAATGCAAAGCCACCAGTTATGTCATCTACACAAAAATACTGTAAAAAGAAAACATATAATAAGAATTTAAACAATTCTCTGAGAAAAATTGCTACCCCAAACCAATAATGAAACAGAAGAAAACTATTAACACTCAAACTGAATACCCTCAAAAAAAAAATAACTGGCTATGTGAAGAAAACAGCTTGAATCAGGTGTTTTATAAACTAAGGAAAAAAAAAAAAAAAAAAGGAAATTAAACAGTAGTTGACTGAACTCAGGAAAGAAATAGAAGAAAAAGATGAAAATACTCTCAGAAATGAAGACTAAATTATAAGGAACCCAAGGAAAGTTAGATTTAAATGAAAACTTACTAAGGGACACTAAAGAAAATCAGGCAAAAAAGAACTAATTAACATGTAGTTGGAGTTTATAAAATGATAAGCCAAATAATGGAATAGAACTATTAAAATATAATCCATGAAAGCTTCTAGAAATAAAACATCTGAATCTACATATTAAAAGAGTCTACTTGGTATCAGGGAAATTAAATCCAAAGACCAATTCTGAAACATATAGAAAAAAATATCCTTTGGGCCTCCAGGAAAAATTATCAAATACTTACAAGGCAAGAGAATTAGACTAGCATCAGTCCTGTCAAAAAGATAGCTAACAAAGGAGTAGCATTTCCAGAAACATAAAAAAAGAAAATGTAAACAAAAGATTTTATATCTAGCCAAATTGTCCTTCAAATATAGAAAAACACTTTTGAATAGGCAAGGGCTCAGAGAATATTTTGTCCCTCCAGCATGTCCTGAATAATCTACTTGAGAAATCTCCATCCAACCAAAATGAAGTAATAAATGGGCAAATATGAGAAAGGGAGAAAGGGAAGTGGTATAAGCTGTAGGTGAGAGTTAAAGGATGCCACTAAACACTAAAAACTCCATAGTAAGAATATAAGTAAGAAAGCAGCAAAGGGGAATGGGGAGGAACAGAAAAGGCATAAATACAAAGGTAAAAAAACAGAACAAAAATACAAAATTTCCTAAATACCAAAATAATACTAAAAATAAATAAAACACACTGTGTGAAAGAAAAGCCAGCAGATATAATACACTTAATATTTAAATATAAAATAATGTGACACAGTTGAAACCAAGCATATCAAACTTATCAATACATATGAATGGACTAAAAAATCTCAATTTGGCTCACAAAGCAAGACCCAACTACATTGTTGTATAAAAGATATATAAATAGGAACAAAATGATTTCAGAAAGACTAAAAATAGAGATGGACAAAGGCATAGCAGGCATATGGAAAGACTAAGAAAAGGGGGTGGTGATACGGATGCCAGAACTAAGGTTCATGCCAAAAAGCATTAAACATGGCAGAGGGTAAAAGTGCAAAAACCCACAATTCACAA